ACTAACGTGCTCGATGGGAGGGGTAATCTACCTCAGGCTTTACTCTTTACTACAGGCCTCACGTCCGCCAAGTGAGGCGACCGGGCTCGGGGCTGCGGCTCCCAACACTTTGTCACTCTTAATCAGTTTTGGTTGAAATCTACTCTGCAAATAGAACAGTTATCCCTACTTTTTTCTGGGTTTCTGTCACACAGAGTATTGTTTTCCATTCTTTGACTTTCAGTCTATGAATTTCTTTTTGAGTTAAATGTATTTCTTGTATGCAGCATATTGTTGGATTAGTGATTAGTTTATTTTCTTTAATATCTTTTAATAGGCTTGTGTTGCATTCCAGAAATTTTTTTCTCTTCTTTTTTTAATTTGAAAGATAGTACAATCCAACAAAACAAGACAGAACAAAGCCGATCAAGACCATGCAGCAAAACTGGTACAGAACTTCAGAGCAGGATTCCAGGAAAACAATAATAGTTACCATAGAATATATTTTTATGTTCACAATAGTTGTCCATTCCATCAGGACATTTCTGGAATCTTGTCCATTACATGCCTTGGTGTAGATTTTTTTGATCATGGCTTACTGGAGTTCTATATGCCTCACTTATCTGTATGTCAAATTCTTTACCCCTGCTTGGGAGTTTTCTGCCATAACGCTTATGCACAGACTTTTTATGCTTGTACTATCTCCTTCTTTTTTCTTTGACTCCACTTAATCTTATGTTATTCTTCATTGAATCACCTAGCAAGTGCTGGATTGATTTCTCATAGTCCTTTGCTATTTTTTTCTTTTAACTTGTTTCAGTCTATGTAACGGCTTGTCTCACAGAAAGGAGAGTGCCGAAATAGGTTAGACTTTCTTGCTATAGCAAGCTCAAATTGTGACAGACTATTTTCATAATCTGTCACAGAGTGTTGCTTGCACCCCTTTGCTATTTTTAAGGAATCTCTCTTTTCATTATTGTTAACCTCAGTCTTTTTATATTTGTTAATCTATCCTCACATTGGTTCATTCTTCTATGTATAGTGTCAAAGGCATTTTTAATCACCTGGATATTTGTTTGAACCTGTTTCATCGATTCCATTTCTTTCCTATACTGGGCATTCATGATTTACATTATTTTTGTGTGCTCTTTATTTTTACCTGTATCTTCTCTAGAGTCACTAACCATGTCTTTCATTATGGTCACCATCTCTGTAGTTATCTGAGAGATTATAACTAATTTCATTTTTTTTTCTAGAACCTTATTCATCTGCTTTTTTTTTTTTTTTTTTGGTACCAGGAATCAAAGGATCTCATGCTTTCCAGGCAGGCACTGTGCCACTGAACTATATCCCCAGCCCTCGCTTTGTTACTTCCCCTGTTATGCCTTCAAGTGGTCCAGTTGGGTGGCTCTTGAATTGTTCCACCTCATTGCTCTCTAGGTTTGCCTTTGGTGAGATGGAAGTCTAAGACTACATCTTGCTTAAGTGTCTTCTCATTTTCTTTTCTTTTTCTTTTTTCTTTTTTTAGTTTAATTTCTGGACTGATGGCTATACATTGCTTATGGCAGGTAGCTAGTACTGAGCCTTTATTGCTAGTATTGTGTATTCCCTTAGGAAACAAGCCCTTTTCAGAGATGTCTTCCAGGTGTAACTGGCTTTCAAGTTCTGAGTCTGTTGCAAGGTCCTCCTGTTCAATTTATGGGGGATGAGAAGTTGCTGCCTATTTGGCCTAGCTGTTGCCTCCTCCTTCTTCTGCAGTGAGATCTCTCTCCTCACAGGTTTAAATTTTTGCTCCAGATCCTTGCTTGGTCCAGGGACCTACTTCCCTCCTTCTTTTTTCATTGCTATATTTCAGCATCTGGATACCAAATCTCAGAGAGGTTGTTTCTCTGCTGTTTACCACTCTGCCATTTCCCCAGAAGTAATCTTTAGAAGTAAGTCTTAGGAAAAGCTCTGCTTATCTTAAGAACTATGAAATAAATATTTCCCTTTTCTATTCTTTCCTTTTTATTATCAAGAAGCTTAGTGTGGACTGCAAAAGAGCTTATAGAAGTGTTTTTCAAACTTTTCATGTTTATGAGATATTTTTGGAATTTTTTCTTTTTTGATTTAGTGCTAGGGATAGAGCCCAACACTATACACAAACTAAGTAAGTGCTTTATGACTGATCTACATCCCCAGACTCGTGAAACACTTTTGAATATTAGAATATGGAGCAGTCTATTTAAAAGAATCAACCAATTTAAAAATTATTCTAAATCAATTATTATATCATCTCAAAAGGCCTAGAATGCATCCATGATTAATTCACTTGTCCATATGGTCCCTTCTCTACACTGTAGTTGTTTGGGCATTTTTTCTGTCCAAACTGATTCCTCATGTACCCCTAATGCAAAGCTCTCTTACTTTCCAGTGAACCACCTTCTTCTTTAAAGCCAATTTAACTCTATGCTTTGCTTTTACTTCTAACTTGCAAATTGTACAACTTGCTCAACCTCAACATTACATATTATGATCATGATTGTTTTATAACAAAAATTAAATTATACATCTATAGAAACTTTGCTACATCATCCATCAGAAGTCTAGTCAGGAGCTATCATCTTAGCTTGTTTTAAATTTCTCCTAATGGGACTTTCTGACATAATGTTGTTATTTTTTGCTATTTTTTATCCAAGGTACATTTTCTGCATTCATATTTTACTACCTCTCAGTATGTATGTCTTGCTTTTTTAAATTCTTTGTGCAACAAGAGGTGTCACAAAATATGACAAAAAAGGGAAATGCTCTTTGATGCCTACTCTCTACTGCCCTCTGCAGGTTGAAGAAAAGAATACCTGAGCCCCAATTTATTACTTACTGTACATTTCTATTACAATGTAGATTCTTAACCAATAGGAAGGTTTAAATTAATTGGTCATTTTTGAGAAGCTAACCATTACTACTCAGACTCCATTTATTAACAGGAAGAATTTCCCAGTTTATGACAGCTCTTCTGTGGTGGGACAATCTCTGGGAACCATGTACCCTATTTTCAACAGATATCCCCAGTCCCCAAACCTATTAGCAAACCTATTTGCACATTGCCTAAGTGTTCATTATCAAAATCTCTTATTGTAAGTTGTGGCTAGAGTCTCTATGTCACAGATCTTTCCAGATATGTGCATTTTGGGTCTGAGAGAGAGTGGCTCATAGTTACAATGATATGACAGTGCCAACATGCTGTGCAGAAAAATATCAACAAATGTTGAAATCCTTGTAGTACAGCAACTAGAGACAATGCAAGATTTTACTTTGTGTCTTTACTAAAAGTGTAAGGCAGGCTGCAAGATAACCAGCAAATAAGCAGCTTCGATTTTGTTCACAAAGGAACACTGATTATGCATGGATTATTTTCTTCTGTCACACTCTTTGTATGGCTAGTAACACTGCCAATGATGTCATCTTCTAAAACAGATCTGAATGTATAGACATATTGTGCCAAAAGAGTCCAAATCAATGACCTGGGTAATGCAATCAGGGTAACACTATTATTGCTTGTCTAAACCTTCCAAGCCTGAGAAAAATAAATGCTAATCCGATGCAAGTTGAAGGAATTCATCGCATGGGAAAGAAAATCAAGCCCTTGTTTGCTTTATTTACATTCTAATAAATACAGAAAATGCATTACAGAATTTAATATTACTGTGTGCATCCAAATATGTTGTTTTACTTTTTACTGTCAGGTTAAATAACTTATGAACAATCACAATCCTTTGGATAAGGTATTTTTTCAAAAGAACTCATCTCCAAGCATGTTTTCACATAGCAATACCTTTCTGCAACAGCAGAATCAGAATGCTTCATAATGATCCCGATAGAGAAAGCATCCTGTTTTATTGACTAGAATAAGAAAATTTTTGAAAGATACATAGCTTCTAGTCCCATCTGCAATTGCTTTGTATTGCAGCTGATTTACTCTATTTATCTTCATAATGAGTATAATACTGACTTCAGTGGAGTAGGCTTAAAAATGTTCAACTTCTGGAAGCCTAAGCTTTCTAATGTGGAAAAAATACTTCAGCTGTATGTAGGAAAGACTTGGGTCTTTTCACTTCTTTAACAGTACACAGTATACAGAAAAGACTTCACTGGGTCTTTTCATTCCTTTAACAGTATACAGTGAGATCTATAATCCAGGCATCAAAACCAGTTTGAGCAATTTGGGGATTTACATTGTGAGACCTTGGACGGGCTGTGACAGTGCATACCTGTAATCCCAGCATTCTAAAGGCTATGTAATGAGGATAATCCCAATTAGAGGCCAGTTTGGGCTACACAATGAGTTCAAGAGCAGCCTGAACTGTACAGTGAGACCTTACCTTTAAAAAAACAAAAACAAACAAAACATCGCGAGTCCTTGCCCCAAAAACAAAATAAAAAATAGGAAACAGGGGGATAGCTCTGTTGCACATGAGAAGGGGATCAAGAGATGAAGGAAAGATGGCTCTAGCCTATAATCCCAGCACTCGGGAGGCTGAGGCAAGGGGATCTCCAGTTTGAGACCAGCCTGTGCTACAGAGTCAAGGCCACCCTGCACTGCTTTGCGAGCCTCTGGCTTGAAAGAGAGAGAGACAGAGAGAGAGAGAGAGAGAGAGAGAGAGAGAGAGAGAGGAAAGGGAGAGAAAGAGAAAATGGCAATAAAAATTAAGACATGTTGAGTACGAGTACCAACTCCTCAAACCAATATAATCATTATAGACTGCGGATTATAATGTACTAATTATACTATATGTACTAATTTTATGTACTAATATAAATAAAAAATATATAACTACTGATTTAAGCGGGAAAAAAAAATTCCCACCGCACGTCTGTGACTTCCAGTGCGCAACTTTCAGAGCATCTTTGAACACTATTGGACCAGGAGACCGCACATCCGGGTCTCCTGGGACAGGATTTCTCCCCCCCACCCCCGCCTTGGGGGCGGAACCACCGGGCCGCTGAGCCTTTCTTCCTTCTCGCCCCGCCCCGTAACCCCGCCCACATGCTGGGGGCGTGGCCTGAGCAGAATGTGGCAGGAAGCCTTAGACGCGTGCTGGTGGCAGCAATGGCTGACGGCGGCCGCGCTCCTCAGGCCCGGGCGCTTCTCCAGCAATGCCTGCACGCCCGATTGCAAGTTCACCCAGCCGAGGGAGATGCCGCGGCCCAGTGGGTGGAGGTAACATCGAGCTGACAACTCTTGTTATCTTCCGATGCGCGGGGGCGGTATTAGTGCGTAGTCTCGATGACCCGCATCTCCTGCATCCTCCTCCTGTGCTTTGGGATGCGCAGGACTTCAGGCCGGTGCTCGAGACGCGGCCTGCAGGGGCCTGCTTGGCTGCGCTTCTGTCTGCAGTCTTGCACCACTGTTAACGGGCGCCAGACCTTGGGACAGCAGCAGAGCAAACCTGTCGGCGTGGCGGACCTCGGGGATTTGCACCTGCTGTCACCCTCTGTCTACCTGAGCTCGGTGGACTTTGGCCTGAGTGACCCAGACACCTGCTGCTCCTGCCAGTGCTAGACTAGGTTCTACTGTATGGGTTAGATTTGCTCCAAGAGGTCAAAATCTGTGAACTGGTTTCACTTATGTCCTAGTTTATGTTGATTATAATTTGGTCTTAGCATAGAAATGAGATTTCCCCCCAAACAACTTTTTTCTTCTGTGTGTGTGTGTATAAGTGTGTGTTGTGTTTTCTGTTTGTTTGGTTTTTAGGTTTTTGTGTTTGTGTTGGTGCCAGATGATCAAAAGTAGAGACTCACCCATGTTGAACAAGCGCCTTATCTTGGATCTTCAGTCCCCAGCCCAAGAAACTCTTGTTTTTGGTTTATTTCAAACTAAGGAACAAAGACCACTATTACTTTTATTATAATGTTGTATTATTGAACACATTTCCTCCAGTGAATTTAAAACATGTACGATAAATGAGTATCTTCTCATATACTTGCCTTTGTTACACAGCCTGCCTCCTCTCTGTTGCCAAAACAAAATGTTAAGGCCCTTGACATATTTTTGGAGTAAGCTGAATTATTTTTCAAAAAGTTCATAATTAAGATTTGGAGGTACTCAGAATCTTCAGTGTAGAAGATCATTCACTTATCTTCTCTGCTAACTTGGATACCAGATTTAGCATTTCTAGACACAATCTGGGTCATTAAACACTACTCATGAATTGTGATATGTGGCTGATTTTCTTACATCAGAATTTGTTACCCTATGCTAATCTGGAAATATTTATAAACATTAAAAAATCCGATATTCTTATCTCTCTTCAAAAATTCTTTTTCCTTTTATCTTGTTTTTGTTAGGACATTTGTTGAAGCTTTGGTTTTGAAAATATTTGTATTAACCATTTTGATTATTGCCTAGTAGCACTATAAATTCCTGACTTAATAGTCTTTTATTCCTGATTTATAGTCTTTCTATGCTACTTTATCTCCTTTTATGTTCTTCATGCCACATTTGCTAGTGCAAAATCACAGATCTTTTATTGCAGCCTTCCAAACTATCAGTTTGTGTTTGTAAACTTTAAAAGCTATTTTTAAAGGCTTTCCCTTCCACTCCCACACAGACTAATTAAAGAGTTGACAAGTAATTAGATGGTGAGAAAGTGTAAGTTCTTCCCTTTCTCATGCATCCTGTATACTGTTCTATTACAGTTCTTGTTTTTTAGAAAGTGTCTTAACTGTTAAACAATTTGAAAGTTATTCTGCTTGTTCTTAGTTTCATTCATTTAGAACTTTGCTGTCACAGACTTTCTCTTCCTGGGAATTGAACATTTTTAAGCTACAATAAAATTATCTATATTTTTCTATAAATTTGGAATGTTTTATACCAAGAAACTACAAAGAAAGTGATTTAGACTTGAAGGACTCTATAAGTCACATTTAAGATTACTTGAAGAAAAAAAGAAAATAATAAAATGAGAAGGTGATGTGGTGTGTGGAAAGAATAAGTATCTATTTCTGGAAATAAATAGGTCCTTAATTGCAAGTGTCCAGCTATGAATATACTGAAGTTTAGGGTTCATGCTGGAAATAATACCAAGGAGAGGTCTATGATAGTTGTGTAGGTTACCTGAATCCATTTACCTAGGCAGTCTCTTGTTATGAGTATGCATTGGAGACCCTTGTCTATTACCCAGAAGCATGATTGCACATCATTAAAACTGACTCCTTTTGGCTGGACATGATGGCACACACCTGTAATCCTAGCATTCAGGAGGCTGAGGCAGGAGGATTGCTACAAGTTTAAGGCCAGTTTGGGCTACACAGTGAAAACAAAAACAAACAAACAAAAAAAACAGGACTCCTTTTCTAGGTAAACCAAGTATGAATACAAAGCTGCTTTTACATTGACATAGAAACCATTTAGGTAACATGTAGAACCTGAAAGATACAGTTGAATTTTAGTGCACTTAACAGATAAATTGGGTCCCCTTCATACGTAAGTCTGTAAAGTGCTTGGAGGTGCTTTAAAGGTGCATACACCTTTAAATTTATTTTTATATACTAATTTAATAATCACATATGAATCAGGAGTGATGGCACATGCTTGTAATCCCACCACTCTAGGAAAATAAAACAGGATTGCAAAGTCTAGCCCAGCATGGATCGTTTTGTGACACTCTGCCTCAAAACTTTTTAAAAGTAAAACAAAAAGAACTGTGGATGTAGCTCAGTGCAAAGGCCCAATCCCCAGGGCCCAGAGATAGCACTTACTATGAACCCTGCACTGTTCTAAGCACTTTACAAACGTTAACACATTTAATATTCCTAATATCTCCTAGAGTGAGTGAGGCTCCTGGAGTTTTCTAAATTAATACATAAAAATCAAAAATTGGATGATTCACTCAGCTACAGAATCACAAACATTTATCAAGCATTTCTTATAGTCTCTCTTACAAGAGATAATAAATAACCCAGTCATTATATAAATTAAGTTTATATTCCTAATGACAACCAACCTTGTCATGTAGAACTTATTATCATAAATATAATTTACAAAGCTTAATCATGTTTATTTAAAGCATTTACAACAATAACAAAAAGATAATTGGACTGTTTCCTGGAGTTGATAGAAATAGAATCAGACCCTTATTTTGCTATCTGCAAATAAATAGATGGGGAGGAATAAACAGAAAAAGACATCAGTAACGTCGGTACTTATTCTTCATTCTGGTTTAATGTGAATTCATTTGGCATTGAATAAATGGTCTTTGCAAACTAAGTGTTCTTAAGACTGAATATCAGCCTTTCTGGGTGGGGAGGAAGCTAGTTGAAAGTTCTATTGATGTTGAATAGAAATAAATAGTTGAAGGTATACTCTAGTATTCACTGCTCTTGGCTATTGAAGTTTAATTTTTGAAAGAAATAATTCAAACTTTAAAAATATTTTATTTGCTCATATATTTAGAAACCAATTCTGTTACAAAACTGTTTTCCTCTGTTTTTAACCTCCATGTTCATAAAAATTGTAACACTGAGGTCTATATCTCTGGTATAGAGTTCTTTCTAAATTGAATTTATTGTGATTTTTCATAGATTCAGAGAGGATTAGTGATCTATGTGTGTTTCTTCAAGGGAGCTGACAAGGAACTTCTTGCCAAAATGGGTATGTGTTTCATATTGTTTTTTCTTTTTTAAGTGAGAAAAATATCAACAGACATTTATGAACAAGGACCAAAAAGCAGAATCATTTTTTTCTTTTCCTTTTTGGTCATGTTGGGGATTCAACTCAGGACCTTGTACATAGTACGCAAATGCTCCATCACCGAGCTACATACTATCCCAATAGCACAAGCTTAAATTGTCCTGGTATTTAAGTTATTAGCTACTTACCTCTGTCTTGTGTTATTAGCTTTAGCCATCTGCCTGCTACAAAATTTTAAATACACATATGTGATAGACTTCTTTTAAAATACTACAGTATTTTAAATAGTTAAGGTTTAGAAGAGTAAACACATAAAAACACATTCAACACAGTTCAGCCAAGAATACAGAACGTTGTTGGAGGCAGAGTTGCCATACATAATCAATCAGATTCTGCGTTATTTAGTGTAGATTTTCTTATCGTCCATATAAAAGTCCCTAACAGAGCAATAGATTGCATCAGATGTATGAGGTGGGGCGGGCAAAGGGGAGATGGACATTTCAAACCTGAAATATCTCAGGCTTATATTATTGTTATGTAAGAATTTACATTAACCACTTATGAACTTCTTTGTAGGATATATATATATATATATATGAATAAGATTCTCCTGATTCTTGAACCAAACTATTATCATAGCCACATCCCACCAGGGGTACAGAAAGATTCACAATCTCTGAACAGTAATTTATTTGGCTGCAGCTTTCTAGCATTCTGAATAATCCATAGTACTGTACATTCTGTATGATCATTTACACATTCACATAGACCAAAGCAAATCATATGCTATTTCAGAGCAGTATTCAGTGCTAACAATTATGTTCAGAACCACTCCCCACCCAACTGGGTATTGTGACACATGCCTAGCATTTAGGAGACTGAAGCAAGAGGGTCCCAAATTTGAGCCCAGCCTGGGCAACTTAGTAGCTTAGCAAGATTCTTGCCCAGTAAAAAAGACTGGGGATGTAGCTAATGCAAAGGCCCTGGGTTAAATCCTCAGTACCACAACAAACAAAAAACTGAGGTAATTAATGGTGCTGTCCCTAAAGTTAGAGACAATTTAAAGGGCAGAGCCCACTAACTAGATTAATAAATATAAACTGGTACAGTGGCACATGCCTGTAGTCCTAGTTAATCAGGAGGTTGAGGCAGGAGAATCACTTAAGCCAAAGAACTTGAGGCCTGCTGGACAGTGTAGCAAGACTGTGTCATAAATAAATAAATATGTTATACACATACACATGCCTAGTTGAAGATTATAGAAATTAACCTGAGAGAGGTTCGTATAATGAGTTATTAGTTCAAATAATTGAACTCACAGGCAATAATAGCCATTTGATAAACACCTTAGACAAAAACTCAAAGCTGGGGCGGGGACTTAGCAGCACAAGTACCTGCCTGTCAAGTGCGAGGTCATGAGTTTAATCCCTGGTAACAAAAAACAAACAAACAAAAAACTCAAAGCTTATAGTGGGAATTTTACATTGATGTATCAACATGTTTGACAACTTTGTCAAAGCATGAAAATGATGCTTAAGAAGAAACCAAGATAGATGAAGATGAAAAACAAGTACCTGTAATAGTTTGAGATTGTAATCCAGCGGATATCAAAGAACTTTGGAAGTATTTAAGAAGAAAATGAGGGCCAGGCCTGGTGGCACATTCCTATAATCCCAAACCACAAAGGCTGAGACAGGAGGATTGCCACGAGTTCAAAGCCAGCCGGGGCTACATAGTAAGTTCAAGGCCACCCTGAACTTAGCAGCAAGACCTTGTCTCAAAAAAAAAAAAAGTGAAACAAAAAGATGGAAAAACTGAAATGAAGGCTTCTACTGTGGAGGGTAATTTGTAAGGTCCTAATGCTGGAGTGTTACATTTTCCCACCACCCTTCTTCTAAAGATATTTTGCCTTAGATTAAATCTTCATTGGCCATAAAAAAAGTAGTATTCTACAAGAGCAAAAATAAAATTTTTGTCATTCTGATGTAAGATTGATTTCCTAAGCTGTCTCCTAGAGGGCTAAATGGATTTTTATAACAATAGGATAAAATAAACCCACCAAATCCTAGGTATATTTTTGCTTTATAATGCTTAAATTCCTGTGTGCTTCTATGTCTTTGTGAGTTTACTTCAAATACATGCATAAGATTGTGGTGAATTAAGTCACCTAGAAGGTCTACCTTAAGTCTTTTAGTGGATAGTGTAACACAAAAGTTTTTATATCATAATTCCCAGTAAAGAATTATGTGACTGTAAGAATCACATTTTGGCTGGGCATGGTAGCATATACCTGTAATCCCAGCACTCTGGGAGGCTGATGCAGAAAGATCAAGTTTAAACCCCACCAAGGAAACTTAGTGACTTAGCAAGAACCTGCTCACATTAAAAAAGGGCTAGAAAGGTAGCTCATTATGAAGGCTCTGTATTCAATCTCCGGTATTGAAAAAGAATCACATCCTGCTGGTTTGAGTTACAAGCAGAATAAATGCATCTGTTATTCATAGCATTAATATGTACTCCCTTCTATTCTAGCTGGCAAAGTATGCCAATGTGATGGGATTTTCTTAAATCCCACCTTGCATTTATTACATGGATTCAAATTTCTCTAATCAAATTTTATAGCCATTGGGAATCTGTTGCATACATCAAGTCTGAAATAGCATAGCTAACAAGGAGATGTGTACTTCCTCAATCAGTCTTTGGTATACCTGGACAGTTCCAGGGATCCTTTAAAGCTTAACTTCCTGTATATATCAATGGAGATATGTGATTGATAACCCATCTTAGGATCTTTGAGTTTCCAGCCTGCTATTAATTTATTGTCTTATTTTAATTCTATTTACTTTTATTTTTATTTGTACATAATTATAGTAACTAATGATTGTATTCACCATGGGGAGCTGGTACATATACATAATACCCTTCTTTCTTTTAACTCCCACTTCTCCTCCCCTCCCTCCTCCTTATACTTGTGTTGTATTAACTTTTTTTTTTTTTTTTTTTTGGTCTTTTTGAGACAGGGTCTCATTATGAACTTCATGCTGGCCTTGGGCTCACTTTATAGCCCAGGCTAGTCTGGAACTTGCAACCATCCTCCTGCCTCAGTGTCCCAAGTGCTGGGATTACAGGAGTGCACCACCACATCCAGAGGATGTTACGTTGACTTTTACATACAGATATTTATATGCTTACAGAATTAATTTGAGCTCTCAGTTATAACCAGTAGAGGGAGGTATGTGAAAGTATAATAAATGGTATTACATCTCAGGCCTATTGTTCCAAAATTGCTTACTTTTATCACTGACTTGAGGCCTAGATAGCAAGATAGCGATTTCCACTGGAATGAAGTGTTCTAGAGAGTTAGTTTCCTTAAGAGTCAATAAGGACTTCTGTGTACATAGCAAAATTCTGTTTGTAATGGAAAAAATTAGACGCTTTTAAAAATATATGTTAAGTGAAAATTGATGGTATTTAAAACATTTTAGGAATTCATTTGGATGTTTTACCTTAGGGTTTGGTTTTTGTTTTTTGTTTTTTATTTTTGGAATTGAGGATAGAACTCATGACCTCAGGTCTGCCAGGCAGGTGCTTACACCACTGAGCTAAATCCCCAGCTCTGCCTTAGCTTTTTATCAGGTTAATTCCTCGATTTATTGAATGGGGTAACCATACTGAATCCTTAACAACATTTACTACAGATCCTCTAATAACTGAAACCACTGACCACGCTATCAGAAAGTGTAACTCATAAAGCTGAATTTAAGGCCAGAGTTTTATAAACTTCCTTTACTGTTTGACCTCTCAAGACTGTTTTTAGCAAGCAGAATTCATTTATATCTCTATAGAGACAGAGACACCTAAAGTTTATTTATATTAGACAATCTTTTGGTGATTGTTTTCAAAATGTTTATTGTAAGGTGTAAAAGCTAAGTTTAGGTTTTTAGCTACTCATAGATATGTATGGTGGTTTGGATACTTACTAGCTATAAATAGTATCATAAATGCTATTAAAATATTTTACTGTGTTTTATTTTATATATTTATAGATAGATAGATAGGTAGATAGATAGTGTCAGTATCCCTGTATTTTTTATTTTTGCATTTGTAACAGTGAAATTTATTTGTATGCTTCTTCCATGGGCTATATTTATAAAAGGATTAGTCCATATTAATAGTGCCTTCAAGCTTATAACACTAAAAAATTAGTTGATTTATGATGGGATTGAACCTGGAAGCTTTGTCATAGCTTAAAACTCTAGGTAGCCAACTTTAAATAATAGATGCATTATAATTTTTATTTAATATTCTTTGTTATAGAGAAGAATTTAGTGTGAAAAGAATTTTTCACAGTCTGTTCCAGTGAGATGAAAGAAGCAAGGAGGCAAAATATTTTAATGTGTTCCAGAGGAAACAATATTTAAGGTTCCATGTACAGTTAATTCTTTGAAGTATTGGGGATTACTGAACCCAGAGCCTTCATACTAAACTATTTCCCTATCCCACCCCCTTTTTAAAATATTGAGACAAGTTCTTATTAATTCACTAAACTTCCCAGGCTGAACTCAAATTCTGCAAGACGTGTAGTGGCTGGTTACAATCCTGCTGAATTTATTGTTAGGCCAAATTATTGTTACTGCCAAATAGGATTTAAAGCATGCTATTTTCTATGTGAAATTTACTCATTTTTTCCATTTGGGTTAGTGTAGTAGTTTTTTTAAATTTAAATAAAGACTATATAAAGAATAAGAGCTAACAAATTGGGTTTTAAACATGAGCTTTTCTAACTAAAAAATTGATGATTTTCTTCATGTTTGTTTTTCACTTCAAAATGTTTTCACCTTTCTTCCTCACCCAGTTAATACACTGTTAAATGTGAAATTAAGTGAAACAGAAAATGGCAAGCACGTCTCTATATTGGATCTACCTGGCGACATTCTTATCATCCCTCAAGCCACCCTTGGGGGCAGAGTAAAAGGAAGAAACATGCAATATCACTCTAACTCTGGAAAAGAAGAAGGATTAGAACTTTATTCACAATTTGTGTCTCTATGTGAAAAAGAATTAGCTGCTAACAGCAAATGTGCTGAAGCTGGGGTGGTAGTGGAACATGGCACGTACGGGAACAGGCAGGTATTAAAGCTGGATACCAATGGACCCTACACACACTTAATTGAGTTTTGAAAAATTAAAAATTATTTTATATAATACTTTTCTATGTGTAGTGATCTGAACTATAATTAGATTTCCTCCCCCTTCACTTCAAATATACTAACCTGCAACCGTTTTTTTCTTTATGGTAGTAGAGATTGAATCACAGGGCCTGGCAGGCACTAGGCAAGTGCTGTATTACTGGGCTGTATCTCCAGTCTGCAGCATTTTTAGGCAAGACCATCCTGGGTCCCCTAAATTACTGCAAATTGCCTATTAGATGACTTTTCCAAATCACCTAAGCTCTGGCTCTCAATCTTTTGTCCTGCTTTTCTCTACATTTCCACTTGAAAATTTGAAAAATGTTGTCCATTCGTTTCATTGTCACTACAGAAATCTTAAGCATATTTTTAAAATGATGAAATGTATACAATCAAAAATAAATTTCTTATGCCTTCAAATGTATGCATGTAATAAATGTAATTATTTGTTTCAAAGTTAGGTAAAATCCAAGACATTATAACTTGGACAATTTTATTTTACTGTTTCAGGTTTCTGGTTTTGTTGTTGTTTTGTGGCACTGTTGAACCCAGTACCTTTGTAATGAGTTACATATCCATTCTTTTTATTATTTTTTATTTTGAGGCAGAGTCTTGCTGAGTTGTGAATTTATAACCCTCTTGCTCAGTCTCTTAGAGTATTGGGATAACAGCATGCACACCAGACCTAGCTAGGTTGTTGGTTTTGTTATTTTGTTGTTTCATGGCTTTTTTGGTTGATTTGGTTTTTGAGGTTTTGTTGTTTTTTGGTTTGTTTGGTTTTATTTTGTTTTCTGTTTATGGTGCTAAGGATTGAACACAGAGCACTTATTTTACTACTGAGTACATCTCCATCCCAGTTCTCTATATTTTAAATGAAAGGATATCTGATTTACTATTCCTTTTAATGTCTATGAAAATATAATTTGGTAATGATATTGAATATCCAAATGTTTTAGATTATTTTAAGACTCTTTAGTAACCTATGGATATGTACAATTTTTATATGTCAGTTAAGATTTTTTTGGTGGTGTTATTTTGAGATCTGGCCTCACTATGTAGATCAGGCTAGGTTTGAATTCACTATGTATCCTAAGCCGGCCTAAAACTCATGACATTCCTCCTGCCTCAGCCCCCCATTATCGTACCAGGCAAGATTATTTTAAACAGTCAAAAAAGATCTTTTAATTCATACAGGAATAAGGCATAGAATATTCATAGTTGTTTTTATTAAGCATGCCCACAAAGATAGATAAGTATTCTTTTTCTCAGTTTTTACCAAAACCATCTATGCAATTTCCATCTTTTGTTTTTAAAGAACTTCATAGAATTAATGTTAGTTCATAAAGCATTTTTAGGAAATTCTTTTCCTGTTGAATTAGATTAGTGTTAAAGGAAGAAAAATGGAAACATTCTACAGGAATAGTTTTTTAAATTAAATTCTATTGACTATTTCTATTTAGTTTTTTATCAGTCAGATAATTTGGAGCCATTTTTAGTTTATCTGTTAGTACATTTTATATACTGATATTTCTACCCTCCCCAAAATTCATATGCAAGTTCTAACCCCCAGTGTGACAGTATTTGTACATGAGGCTTTGGAAGATGACTGGGGTTCAGATGAGGTTGTGAAGATGGGGTCCACATGATGGGATTAGTGCTAAAGACAGAGCAATAGCTGTCTCCTCCCACCATTTGAGAACCCCTCAGCAAGCCAGAAAGAATCTCCCCAGAAACAGGCCAGGCTGGCATCTTGATCGTAAATTTTGAGACTCCAAAGGTGTGAGAAATAAATTTCTGTTGTTTTAAGCCACTGAATCTGTGATGTTTTGTTATGGCACTTTGAACTGACCTAGACAATGACATAAGATAGGACAGCTAGCAAGGTTTTTAAAGTCAAGAGAAGGAAGTATATAAGAAATTGAAAGAATAAATGAGTCAGTAATAGGTAATATGTTTTTGCAAACTCCTGTGACAAAATATTTTTAAGAGTGGAAAATTAAACATCTTAAGTTGCTGCTGAAAATTCCTTTGTGTCTTAAAATTTCTTTAAGTCTGCATTTAAGATACTTAAAATTCTTATTATCACAAAATATTTCCTATTTTCTCTATACCTTTCTGTACTATTCTATTTTAGAACTTGAGAATCAATAACTGGCTTTGAAATGAGCTCATTGTCCTTAACTTTTGCTTTATTGATTCGTGATATACTTATTGAAATGTAATAAACTATTCATAAACTTGCAAAGTTCAATTTTTCTCAAAGCTTCTCCAAGGAGATGTATATGTCTTTCAAAAAGATTATATTACCTGTTTTAAATCTTTGTGATTTTATGTCTAGGCAAAATGCTGACTCACTGCCCTAGATGGCTATTTTATAGTTCAGGCAATTTTTTTAAAACTCACTTGAGATACTTCTGGAAAACAGCAATTTCAAATACATGAAGGGTTATTAAGCAGAAGGTAATGACCTACTTTACTTCATTTGCAGGGAGGCTACAGCAAGAGAGAAAAGGCAAGAGACATAGTGGCTATGAAAATAACTCTCCTATATTTCTGTAGTTCTTCTGGCTCATTGTGCTTAAAAATATCACAGGTGCACATAAATATATGTGTACATATACCTTATCTTCACAGTATAACTTAGGAGGGTAATATTATAGAAAGAATGCTTAATTCCCCCAAGGTCACACAGTAGTGATAATGGGACCTCCAAATGATATGGGAAAAAAATAAATGTAACTCCTAACCTGGTGGATGTCCAATATGCCGAGTTCATATTCCCCAAAGTCAAAGAATGAATTCTAAGGAACAGAGCTTAAGAGTAGGAAAAATATATTGAGGAAAAGGATTGGGGAATAAAAATACCTCCTTAAAGATAGGAGGGGTCGGGGCTGGGGATTTAGCTCAGCGCATAAGCACCTGCCTTGCAAGCAGGCAGTCGTAAGTTCGATCCCTGGTACCGATAAAAACGAAAAAGACAAAAAAAGATAGGAGGGGTCCTGAATGGGTTGTTAGGGATCCCAGTTCTCCAAGGAAGTTTTGTAGAGCAAAACCATGAGGTAGGTACAACATAGGTCAAAACTATGATCAGCCAGGCTGGGTGGTACACTTCTATAATCCCAGTTCTTGGGAGGCTGAAGCAGGTAGGTTTTTGTAAATTGACCAATCTGGGCTACAAAGTTAGACCAAGGCCAGCCTAAATTGCACAGTGAGACCCTGTCTCAAATAAATAAATAAATAAAAACAACTATGATCGACCAATAAGATTATAATAAACTGTTGAGGTGACATTGATCCAGTGGGGAAGTAGGTCACATAGCAAGTGTACAGGAATAACATCATTAACTTTCATCCATAATCTCTAGTCTTATTCTTAGTAGATTTAGTCTTGGTAGTCTTAGTCTTAGTCTTAGTTTTAATTTGATCTCAGTGGGTGGGAGACAATAGCCCCTACCACCTCTACTGAGATAAGGGGTTATTTAAATGGGAAACGTCAAAAAGATGGTACCAATAACCTCAAACTTCTATTTATCACAATCTGGCAATAGTGACTTTAATCATCTTCAAGTGAGCGCTTAACCACAGTTTTGATCTGTTACCATCTTCTGCACCGACTGCATCAAGGTTCTAGCCATGGCTGACTGCCTATAATATTTCTGCCTAACTAAGCTGTCTGTCATATTTCCTCTCTGAAGAGGTATCCAGAACTGCTATGAGGGGGCAAGGCGCAAAGACCGTTCTGGCTGAGTCTGCTGAAAGGGGTCACATATGATGATAAGATCAACAACACTATTACAGATATAGCAAACAAATGTTTCCACTAGGAGGAACCAGTAGTAGCCTCCCACGAAGAGAGTAAGTCCAGGGAATTTTACAATCTGACATGGAATTAACCTGTCGTTTAATATCTTGAACAACCATTGAGATACTTACAGAAGGGTAACGAATGTACACACAACATTCTGCTTTTACAATTGCACGAGTACTTTTTCCTGATTTTTCTGTTCTATAAGGAAAGGACTCAACCCAGTTCATGAAAATATCTACTGAGACCAACAGGTATTGGAACCCCTTATTCTTTGGCATGAGTAAAATCAAGCTGCCAATCTTCTCCAGGGTATTCACTAGTCACTAAATACCTGGAGGGGCTATGGTCCCTTTAAGAGGATTGTTCTTTTGGCAGAGCTCACATCATAACTATCTATTGTGTTATCTGAAGAAGTCCTTTTTCTATGAATAATTTTGAGGCCATGAGGTGGGTCGTGTCTCCACAAGAGAAAGATTTGATGTACGTACTTAATAATTCTCCATTGATTAGCCCCAGGAAGAAACAGTTTACCATTATCTGATTGTAACCATCCTGACTCCCATAGGAGTCAGCCCACTTGACTTCTGACTGAGAATATTTGGCTCAAGTATGATCAAGGAACTCACCAGATCAGGGGGGCCTACGTGGGGGCCCTTGAGAGCTTCTTTTGCAGCTGTATCAGCCAGTTGATTACCTCCAGATACTTCATTGTCACCTTGTTTGGTGCCCTTTATGGTGAATTACTGCCACTTTGGAAGGCATCTACACAGATGGTATAAGTTTGTCTTCTTACAATATTTTATGGGAGATCCATTGGCTGTCAGATAATTTCTTTCTATATGGATACATGGGCATGCAACTCTAGGAAAGGATACTTTGAATCAATATATTGACTTTTGTGTCCTTTACTGAGTTGTAAAACCCTGGTCAGAGCTATGAGTTCTACTAACTGTGCACTAGACCCAGGGGCAAGTGTGGAACTTTCAAGTGTCTAACATAGAGTCACTGGTGCATACCCTGCCTTTCTTGTGTCATTTTCCATGAAGCAATTGCCATCACAGAAGAGTGTCAAATCGGGATCAGAAAGGGGTATCTAACAAGTCTTCTCTGCTGTGTACATTTGGAGAATTACTTATTCTCCATCATGTATTTCACAGTCATCCTGGGTATTTCTTTCTCTGAAAAAAAAAAATACTTTAACTGGTAGGAAGGTGGCAGGGTTTAAGGAGAAACATGTCTTTATTTAAATGGCTGGTCCTTCTAAAAGTAGAGGCTGATATTTAGGAAGTCAGTTGTCCAAGAGCCACATCCTCCCTTTGGAAGAAAGAAGTCCTGTCACATTGTGAATAGTATATACATTCTGTGAGATCTTTGTTTAAAGTCAGCTTGGAGGGAGTCATGGTGCATGCCTATAATCCTAGCACATAGGGAGACTGAGGCAGAAGGATTGCCATGAGTTCGAGACCAGGCTGGGCTACATAGTGAAATCAAGGTCAGCCTGAATTATTTAGTGAGACCCTGTCTCAAAAAACCAATAAAGAAAAAAATTAAGTAAGAAAGTAAGTTAGCTTGGATACCTCTGGTACCAGCAGAGCTACAGCAACCACAGCTCTAAG